TGCAGGGGAAAAAATTCCTTCCTGACCCCCGAGAGGCAATCGGATATTCCCTGGATCAACTTTCCCTATAAATGTTATATCCAGTTATATTCTGTGTATCCAAGAAAGAATCCAGGACTTTCCTACAGCAACCCCCCCCTTATGTATTATACATGGAGATCATATCCCCCCCTTATGTATTATACATGGAGATCATATCCCCCCCTTATGTATTATACATGGAGATCATATCCCCCCCTTATGTATTATACATGGAGATCATATCCCCCCCTTATGTATTATACATGGAGATCATATCCCCCCTTATGTATTATACATGGAGATCATATCCCCCCTTATGTATTATACATGGAGATCATATCCCCCCTTATGTATTATACATGGAGATCATATCCCCCCTTATGTATTATATACATGGAGATCATATCCCCCCTTATGTATTATACATGGAGATCATATCCCCCCTTATGTATTATACATGGAGATCATATCCCCCCTTATGTATTATACATGGAGATCATACCCCCCCCCCCCTTATGTATTATACATGGAGATCATCCCCCCCCCCCTTATGTATTATACATACATGTGAGATCATATCCCCCTTATGTATTATACATGGAGATCATATCCCCCCTTATGTATTATACATGGAGATCATATCCCCCCCTTATGTATTATACATGGAGATCATATCCCCCCTTATGTATTATACATGGAGATCATATCCCCCCTTATGTATTATACATGGAGATCACCCCCCCCCCTTATGTATTATACATGGAGATCATATCCCCCCTTATGTATTATACATGGAGATCATACCCCCCCCCCTTATGTATTATACATGGTGATCATATATCCCCCCTTATGTATTATACATGGAGATCATATCCCCCCTTATGTATTATACATGGAGATCATATCCCCCCTTATGTATTATACATGGAGATCATATCCCCCCTTATGTATTATACATGGAGATCATACCCCCCCCCCCCTTATGTATTATACATGGAGATCATATCCCCCTTATGTATTATACATGGAGATCATATCCCCCCTTATGTATTATACATGGAGATCATATCCCCCCCTTATGTATTATACATGGAGATCATATCCCCCCTTATGTATTATACATGGAGATCATATCCCCCCTTATGTATTATACATGGAGATCATACCCCCCCCTTATGTATTATACATGGAGATCATATCCCCCCTTATGTATTATACATGGAGATCATATCCCCCCCCTTATGTATTATACATGGAGATCATATCCCCCCTTATGTATTATACATGGAGATCATATCCCCCCTTATGTATTATACATGGAGATCATATCCCCCCTTATGTATTATACATGGAGATCATATCCCCCCTTATGTATTATACATGGAGATCATATCCCCCTTATGTATTATACATGGAGATCATATCCCCCCTTATGTATTATACATGGAGATCATATCCCCCCTTATGTATTATACATGGAGATCATATCCCCCCCTTATGTATTATACATGGAGATCATATCCCCCCCTTATGTATTATACATGGAGATCATATCCCCCCCTTATGTATTATACATGGAGATCATATCCCCCCTTATGTATTATACATGGAGATCATATCCCCCTTATGTATTATACATGAGAGATCATATCCCCCCTTATGTATTATACATGGAGATCATATCATATCCCCCTTATGTATTATACATGGAGATCATATCCCCCCTTATGTATTATACATGGAGATCATATCCCCCCTTATGTATTATACATGGAGATCATATCCCCCCTTATGTATTATACATGGAGATCATATCCCCCCCCTTATGTATTATACATGGAGATCATATCCCCCCCTTATGTATTATACATGGAGATCATATCCCCCCTTATGTATTATACATGGAGATCATATCCCCCCTTATGTATTATACATGGAGATCATATCCCCCCCTTATGTATTATACATGGGAGATCATATCCCCCCCCTTATGTATTATACATGGAGATCATATCCCCCCTTATGTATTATACATGGAGATCATATCCCCCCCCTTATGTATTATACATGGAGATCATATCCCCCCCTTATGTATTATACATGAGATCATATCCCCCTTATGTATTATACATGGAGATCATATCCCCCCTTATGTATATATACACATGGAGATCATATCCCCCCTTATGTATTATACATGGAGATCATATCCCCCCTTATGTATTATACATGGAGATCATATCCCCCCTTATGTATTATACATGGAGATCATATCCCCCCCTTATGTATTATACATGGAGATCATATCCCCCCTTATGTATTATACATGGAGATCATATCCCCCCTTATGTATTATACATGGAGATCATATCCCCCCCTTATGTATTATACATGGAGATCATATCCCCCCTTATGTATTATACATGGAGATCATATCCCCCCTTATGTATTATACATGGAGATCATATCCCCCCTTATGTATTATACATGGAGATCATATCCCCCCTTATGTATTATACATGGAGATCATGCATCCCCCCCCTTATGTATTATACCTGGAGATCATATCCCCCCTTATGTATTATACATGGAGATCATATCCCCCCCCTTATGTATTATACATGGAGATCATATCCCCCCTTATGTATTATACATGGAGATCATATCCCCCCCCTTATGTATATATACATGGAGATCATATCCCCCCTTATGTATTATACATGGAGATCATATCCCCCTTATGTATTATACATGGAGATCATATCCCCCCCCCCTTATGTATTATACATGGAGATCATATCCCCCCTTTATGTATTATACATGGAGATCAAATCCCCCCCCCTTATGTATTATACATGGAGATCATATCCCCCCTTATGTATTATACATGGAGATCATATCCCCCCCCTACATGTATTATACATGGAGATCATATCCCCCCTTATGTATTATACATGGAGATCATATCCCCCCTTATGTATTATACATGGAGATCATATCCCCCCTTATGTATTATACATGGAGATCATATCCCCCCCTTATGTATTATATACATGGAGATCCTATCCCCCCTTATGTATTATACATGGAGATCATATCCCCCCTTATGTATTATACATGGAGATCATATCCCCCCTTATGTATTATACATGGAGATCATATCCCCCCTTATGTATTATACATGGAGATCATATCCCCCCTTATGTATTATACATGGAGATCATATCCCCCCTTATGTATTATACATGGAGATCATATCCCCCCCTTATGTATTATACATGGAGATCATATCCCCCCTTATGTATTATACATGAGAGATCATATCCCCCCTTATGTATTATACATGGAGATCATATCCCCCCTTATGTATTATACATGGAGATCATATCCCCCCTTATGTATGTATTTACATGGAGATCATATCCCCCCTTATGTATTATACATGGAGATCATATCCCCCCTTATGTATTATACATGGAGATCATATCCCCCCTTATGTATTATACATGGAGATCATATCCCCCCTTATGTATTATACATGGAGATCATATCCCCCCTTATGTATTATACATGGAGATCATATCCCCCCTATATGTATTATACATGGAGATCATATCCCCCCTTATGTATTATACATGAGAGATCATATCCCCCCTTATGTATTATACATGGAGATCATATCCCCCCTTATGTATTATACATGGAGATCATATCCCCCTTATGTATTATACATGGAGATCATATCCCCCTTATGTATTATACATGGAGATCATATCCCCCCTTATGTATTATAATACATGGAGATCATATCCCCCCTTAATGTATTATACATGGAGATCATATCCCCCCTTATGTATTATACATGGAGATCATATCCCCCCTTATGTATTATACATGGAGATCATATCCCCCTTTATGTATTATACATGGAGATCATATCCCCCCTTATGTATTATACATGGAGATCATATCCCCCCCCCTTATGTATTATACATGGAGATCATATCCCCCCTTATGTATTATACATGGAGATCATATCCCCCCTTATGTATTATACATGGAGATCATATCCCCCCTTAATATGTATTATACATGGAGATCATATCCCCCCCTTATGTATTATACATGGAGATCATATCCCCCTTATGTATTATACATGGAGATCATATCCCCCCTTATGTATTATACACTGGCTGATCATATCCCCCCTTATGTATTATACATGGAGATCATATCCCCCCTTATGTATTATACATGGAGATCATATCCCCCCTTATGTATTATACATGGAGATCATATCCCCCCCTTATGTACATTATACATGGAGATCATATCCCCCCTTATGTATTATACATGGAGATCATATCCCCCTTATGTATTATACATGGAAATCATATCCCCCCTTATGTATTATACATGGAGATCATATCCCCCCTTATGTATTATACATGGAGATCATATCCCCCCTTATGTATTATACATGGAGATCATATCCCCCCTTATGTATTATACATGGAGATCATATCCCCCCCTTATGTATTATAGCCATGGAGATCATATCCCCCCCTTATGTATTATACATGGAGATCATATCCCCCTTTATGTATTATACATGGAGATCATATCCCCCCTTATGTATTATACATGGGATATCATATCCACCCTTATGTATTACACATGGAGATCATATCCCCCTTAATGTATTATACATGGAGATCATATCCCCCCATGTACTTAATATACATGGAGATCATATCCCCCTTATGTATGGGGTGATACCATGGAGATCATGTTATGGACCTTATGTCCAATTATACATGGAGATCCATACCCCCCCCCCCCACTATTATACATGGTGATCATACCCCCCTCTATGTATTATACCATGGGGTACCCCATAACCCCCTTATGTATTACCCACAAGTGAACATGAACCTCTGTACCCCCCTTATGATATTATACACTGATCCTTGGGGTATCCCCCCATACCTTGTATATACACGTAACATGATCCCCCCTATGTACTAATACACTGAACCATATCCCCCCCCACTATTATAACCATGGGGAGATCCATATCCCCCCCTGTCCAATGTATACCCATACATGAACCCTGGTCATATCCACTAATAACACTTAACCCCTTGGGGACCCCATAATAACCCCTATGTCCATGGGTATACATCATATTCCCCCCCTTATGTATTATACATACATTGAACCATATCCCCCCCCACCCCCCTCTGTCCAAGTATACCATATCCCCCGCCACCCCTCTGTCCAATAACCATGCCGATCCACCCCCCCCCTCTGTCCAACATGATACCATGGGTCCCCCGCCACTATAACCCTCTGTCCAAGTATACCATGTCCACCGCCACCCCTCTGTCCAAGTGATACCACATTCGTCCACCGCCACCCCTCTGTCCAAGTATACCATGTCCACCGCCCACCCCTCTGTCCAAGTATACCACATCCACCGCCACCCCTCTGTCCAAGTATACCACACGTCCACCGCCACCCCTCTGTCCAAGTATACCACGTCCACCCGCCACCCCTCTGTCCAAGTATACCACGTCCACCGCCACCCCCTCTGTCCAAGTATACCACGTCCACCGCCACCCTTCTGTCCAAGTATACCATGTCCACAACCACCCCCTCTGTCCAAGTATACCACGTCCACCGCCACCGCCAGCCACCCCTCTGTCCAAGCATACCACGTCCACTGCCACCAATCCCTCTGTCTAAGTATACCCAACCCACCGCCACCCCTCTGTCCAAGTATACCACGTCCACCGCCACCCCTCTGTCCAAGTATACCACGTCCACTGCACACCCCTCTGTCCAAGGATTTGCTCACCTCCAATCTAACCTGTTTCATGATGGTTTAATCCCAACTCACCTCTACATGTTGTCTACAGTAAACATTTAAGCTTCCACTGATTACAGAATACTAATACTGAGAGTCCTGACCCCTTACTACTATATAACTTGTACATTACATACTCCTGACCCCTGCACTATATACTCTATGTTGTACATTACATACTCCTGACCCCTGCACTATATACTCTATGTTGTACATTACATACTCCTGACCCCTGCACTATATACTCTATGTTGTACATTACATACTCCTGACCCCTGCACTATATACTGTATGTTGTACATTACATCCTCCTGACCCCCTGCACTATATACTCTATGTTGTACATTACATACTCCTGACCCCTGCACTATATACTCTATGTTGTACATTACATCCTCCTGACCCCTGCACTATATACTCTATGTTACATTACATACTCCTGACCCCTGCACTATATATACTCTATGTTGTACATTACATACTCCTGACCCCTGCACTATATACTCTATGTTGTACATTACATACTCCTGACCCTGCACTATATACTCTATGTTGTACATTAAATACTCCTGACCCCTGCACTATATACTCTATGTTGTACATTACATCCTCCTGACCCCTGCACTATATACTCTATGTTGTACATTACATACTCCTGACCCCTGCACTATATACTCTATGTTGTACATTACATACTCCTGACCCCTGCACTATATACTCATGTTGTACATTACATACTCCTGACCTCCCTGCACTATATACTCTATGTTGTACATTACATACTCCTGACCCCTGCACTATATACTCTATGTTGTACATTACATACTCCTGACCCCTGCACTATATACTCTGTTGTACATTCCATACTCCTGACCCCTGCGCTATATACTCTATGTTGTACATTATACTCCTGACCCCTGCACTATATACTCTGTTGTACATTATACTCCTGACCCCTGCACTATATACTCTGTTGTACATTACATCCTCCTGACCCCTGCACTATATACTCTATGTTGTACATTTCATCTCTGACTTCTGCTCTCCCCCCCCCCCCCACTACTATATATACACATAATATGGATTCTCTTTTGTTCCCCCCATTTCCTCCCAGCTGGACATTTTATATCGGATGATGTGATTGGAGCACAGACTTTTACATGGTGATAATAATGTGATCACATCCTCCAACTTTGGACCCTTAAACAGGAAGTGATAATGAGGGAGGAGTCAATACCCCAATGATGGTGGTCTTCAGGATCAGTCCAGTCTTCATCTTGGTTGTTCTCCCCCCATCCTCCACTCTCTGACCTCTGGTGGGGCTCAGCCCCGCTGTTTCTTCATGACTAAATCATGGACTAAATAAGGAAGTGCAGTACTTCTTGTGTTGGGAAGATGGTGATGAGTGATAGAGGGGGTGGGGACCCTCGTCCTATAATCCCCTCATCACTGTCCCTCCTATAAAAGACAGTTCTGGTTGTTTCCTCACTCTCTGACTAAGGTCCATGAATAAAGAAATGACCTGGTAGGAGATCAGAGGAGCCATTTCCTAGTTCCCTTGAGGGTGGAATTGTAAGCTCCTCAGAGACCAAGCTGCCTGATGTGGGCGGAGTCCTGGTTTGGGGGAACCAATCAGCTCCTGTCTAGTAATCCTTTTTGTCTTTGTATTTTAGTCCATGGCCGGGAGATGAGGAAAACCTCCGAGGATTGTCTCACTTTGTCTCCAGACTGGAAAGTAGAAGATGAGGACATCACACAGTATAGTCCAGGAGAAAACCCGGCTCCCTCCAATGTCCATCCGGCACCACCCAGTGTAGATGGACCATCGGATTCCTCGTATCCTGAGGAACCTCAGACTGTGCGGGAGCGGGCTGGCCTTCCAACAGGGAAGAGGTTCTCCTGTACTGAGTGTGGGAAGGGTTTCCACTATAAATCCAAACTTAATAGGCATAAGAGATCTCACACGAGGGGAGAAGCCATATTCTTGTCCTGAGTGCGAGAAAAGTTTTTCAATGAAGTCCCTTCTGTACACACATCAGAGATCTCACACAGGGGAGAAGCCATTTTCCTGTCCTGAGTGCGGGAAATGTTTTTCAATAAAGTCCCATCTTTCCAGACATCAGAGATCTCACACGGGGGAGAAGCCGTTTTCTGTCCTGATTGTGGGAAATGTTTTTCAGTGAAGTTCCATCTTTACAGACATCAGAGATCTCACACGGGGGAAAAGCCATATTCCTGTCCTGAGTGTGGGAAATGTTTTTCAGTGAAGTCTCATCTTTACAAACATCAGAGCTCTCACACGGGGGAAAAGCCGTATTCCTGTTCTGAGTGTGGGAAATATTTTTCACATAAGTCTTATCTTTACACACATCAGAGATCTCACACGGGGAAAAGCCGTATTCCTGTTCTGAGTGCGGGAAATGTTTTTCACAGAAGTCTTATCGGTTTACACACATCAAAGATCTCACACAGGGGAAAAGCCATATTCCTGTCCTGAGTGTGGGAAATGTTTTTCATTGAAGTTCTATCTTTACACACATCAGAGATCTCACACGGGGGAAAAGCCGTATTCCTGTCCTGAGTGTGGGAAATGTTTTTCAAGTAAGTCCTATGTTTACATACATCAGAGATCTCACACGGGGGAGAAGCCGTATTCCTGTGTCCTGAGTGCGGGAAATGTTTTTCACGTAAGTCCAGTCTTTACACACATCAGAGATCTCACACAGGGGAGAAAACCGTATTCCTGTCCTGAGTGCGGGAAATGTTTTTCACAGAAGTCCTATCTTTCCAGACATCAGAGATCTCACACGGGGAAAAGCCACTTTCCTGTCCTAAGTGAGGGAAATGTTCCTCACTGAAGTCCTGTCTTCCTGTACATCAGGGATCCCACACAACCCTTGAGGTGTATTAGTGCCTTGAGTGCGGGAAATGTCTTCTAGATGAATGTTGCTGGACATCCCAGCTCTCGTGGAGAAAGCACATAAAAGCAAATAAAAATGCAGTCATGAACTTTCTTTTGGCTGAGTAAATGTGTTTTTTTATAGAGACTTGGAGGTCTATCGTTGATGAAATATGGGCAGCTGTTTGCCAGGCCATGACCAATATTGGCCATATTTGATGGAACTCAGTGATTTTCTATGATCATTGGCTCCATCTAGTGTCAGAAATTCTGCATCATCATACTTTTTACAGATGGAGGTATTTCAGTAAAAATCTGTCATTCTGGCCACTAGATGGAGCTGATGTTCATAGGAAAACACTCTATGAATTGATGTCCAGAGTTGATCACAGAAGGGGACAAATGCTCATCACACTTGTGTGCAGCAAATGTTCTGTATATTGCCCCCTTGGTTTCCGTCATCAGACATGGAGGGATATCAGAGCCTGGAAAACATGGCTTGGGGGTTCATGGAGGGGGGATCCAGCGGCTGTATAGACTTGACAGTGCCCCCCTGTGACCATTTCTGAGAACGCTCCTATTTCACCAGAATGTTTCAGAAGGTCCTGCTGGTCTCTGGGGCTAAAATGATTCCACCATTGGAGGAAGGTTGGGGAAGGTTTCTCTGAACATCAGAATTTGGTGTTCGGCAGTTTCCACGATTGGCCATGTCTGTAAAATACCTAATCCTTGTGTTTGCCGATCCTCTGATACCGGACTGGTGAGATTATAGACTTCCTGAACCAGGAAGGATCCATATTGTGTCCAATCAGGAAGCAGATTTCTGGCCTCACTCACAGCTTTACTGTCAGATCTAGAGGATCCACCGATGGGCTCATGACAGCACAGTACAGGGATAAAGGGATTCAGCCTTGGGTACCTAAAGGAGAAGGAATAGACAGGGACCACAGTGAATTGTGGGTGTGACATTGTACTGCCAGTGGGAGGGGCCTAAAACTTGAGTCTACCCATAGTTCACAGGGTAGGATCTTCCACGGTCCTTGTACCCACAACATGTAATTCAATGACTGAGCCACCAGGGGGAGTCTAACAGACAAGTTCTGTCATTGGGGAAAATGGAACTCTTCAATCACATCTGCTTTTCTACACTCAAACCAACCTTCAGGAAGATCTTCAATAATGTGTAATGTTCTCATGTTACAAACAACCAGTGGAATTGGTACCATTTGTATGGAAATAAAAAATACACAAAATCCATGTGAACAAGGTGTCAGTGAATGGGCAAGGTGTCAGTGAATGGGCAAGGTGTCGTGTGAATGAACAAGGTGTCGGTGAATGAACAAGGTGTCGGTGAATGAACAAGGTGTCGGTGAATGAACAAGGTGTCGGTGAATGGACAAGGTGTCAGTGAATGGACAAGGTGTCAGTCTTTTGAAAGTGTTTGCTCACCAATGCCAGAAGTGTGCCCAGCACAATAGGTGAGTTGGAAGGTTTGGTGCATGAAGAGAACTAGGATTGAATTGGTATTGCTGAATCTTGGCTTCATTCCTCACATGACTGGGCCATTCATATTCCTGGCTAGGTTCTCTTTCGGAGAGACGGGGGAAATAGGAAAGGTGGTGGTGTCTGTCTCTATGTGAGAAGTGATCTCAGAGCGAGTGTGAAAGAGGACCTAGTTGATGGAGAGTGTGATGAGGCTGAAGTATTATGGGTGGAACTGCACATGGGGGGCGATACTACAAAGGTCATCATTGGAGTTTGTTATAGGCCTCCCAGTGTTAATGAGGAGGTGGAGACTCAGCTCCTCCCAGAGTGGAAAGGGATGCAAGGGCTGGGACAGTGATAATAATGGGGGGTGGTAACTGAAAGGAATGATTTTCTTTTCCCCTCAGAGACCCCCGGTCTGTGGAGAGATTCCTGGTTTATCAGCAGAATTTTGGGAAACACCCCTTGAACACGGGAATAACGGCAGCTTATGTTCAGAGATGTTCAAAGTTTATTGGACATTACTAAGATTATATAGACTACAGATAATAATAATAAGGGAGGGGGAGCGAGTTTTTTTAAAACTGTAACTTGTAAGTTTCCATCATGAGCTGACTACATGAAAACATGACATATACATTTCTTGGTATAAACTGTTTTGGCTAACTTTTCTGAGAAACATTAAAAGACATTGTCAGGGTCATGTTAGCTTCTGTTGATACATCCTTGTACAACTAAAACAGTTTCATTAAACTTCTAATATATCTGCAAAAAGCTAACTTAATACTTAAAATGGCGTACATCAACACAATGGAGGTTCTCCTTTTCAATCACTAGTCAGTAAGGCTTGATTTAAATCCTAGTTTTCTACATAAAGACTAATTCTTGCTGGTATAACTTTAATATACAAGTAGATGAAGATTTTTAGAATAACAACTTTTCATATTAGTTTTTTTATCCCCAGTTTAATAGGTTCATCATTCATATTTGGACAACTTTTCTGTTGTACTTAGGAAGGAGAAAAATAATCATTCCCTTAATAATAACAATTTAAATAGATTTATTCAACTGAAACAACAACATTCCAGCATCTGTTATTTTAAACATCCATGTTTGTTAACTACTTTGGCTAAAAAAATATATATATATTTTAAGAAACTTAGACTGTCAGCCCCTCCCTCCTCACACTGTCAGCCCCTCCCTCCTCACACTGTCGGCTCCTCCCTCCTCACACTGTCGGCCCCTTCCTCCTCACACTGTCGGGCCCCTCCCTCCTCGCACTGTCGGCCCCTCCCTCCTCGCACTGTCGGCCCCCTCCCTCCTCGCACTGTCGCACTGGCCCCTCCCTCCTCGCACTGTCGGCCCCTTCCTCCTCGCACTTAGTTTCACTTTCTTCTCCTGCAGATGTATTCCCTCCCAAACAATCAGAAAAACATTGTTTCTATTCTTCACTGAACTTCTTGCCCTTGGCACTGAAGGGGTTGATTCTGTATTCAATCGGTTTGTAGAAGTTAGGATGAAGGCCCTTTTTCTTACCTCTGTTCATGTCGCACATTGTTGCTGTGAAGAAGAGGCATGTGATCTCCGCTGAGTCAAATTCAGTTTTGAGAACTACAAAAGTAAACCAACATCTGTGATAATATCTTGTAGGCAGAGAAACCGCCCAATAATCTTACAGAGACCTCTGGAGAGCGTGACATTGTGAATGGATTCATGGGAATTTATGTACCAGAAACCTCTGGAGAGCGTGACATTGTGAATGGATTCATGGGATTTATGTACCAGAAACCTCTGGAGAGCGTGACATTGTGAATGGAGTCATGGGATTTATGTACCAGAAACCTCTGGAGAGCGTGACATTGTGACATTGTGAATGGAGCCCCTCCCTCCTGACACTGTCATGGGATTTATGTACCAGAAACCTCTGGAGAGCGTGACATTGTGAATGGATTCATGGGATTTATGTACCAGAAACCAGAAACCTCTGGAGAGCGTGACATTGTGAATGGAGTCATGGAATTTATGTACCAGAAACCTCTGGAGAGCGTGACATTGTGAATGGATTCATGGGATTTATGTACCAGAAACCTCTGGAGAGCGTGACATTGTGAATGGAGTCATGGAATTTATGTACCAGAAACCTCTGGAGAGCGTGACATTGTGAATGGAGTCATGGAATTTATGTACCAGAAACCTCTGGAGAGCGTGACATTGTGAATGGATTCATGGAATTTATGTACCAGAAACCTCTGGAGAGCGTGACATTGTGAATGGAGTCATGGAATTTATGTACCAGAAACTCTGGAGAGCGTGACATTGTGAATGGATTCATGGAATTTATGTACCAGAAACCTCTGGAGAGCGTGACATTGTGAATGGAGTCATGGGGATTTATGTACCAGAAACCTCTGGAGAGCGTGACATTGTGAATGGATTCATGGGATTTATGTACCAGAAACCTCTGGAGAGCGTGACATTGTGAATGGATTCATGGGATTTATGTACCAGAAACCTCTGGAGAGCGTGACATTGTGAATGGATTCATGGGATTTATGTACCAGAAACCTCTGGAGAGCGTGACATTGTGAATGGATTCATGGGAATTTATGTACCAGAAACCTCTGGAGAGCGTGACATTGTGAATGGATTCATGGGATTTATGTACCAGAAACCTCTGGAGAGCGTGACATTGTGAATGGATTCATGGGATTTATGTACCAGAAACCTCTGGAGAGCGTGACATTGTGAATGGGATTCATGGAATTTATGTACCAGAAACCTCTGGAGAGCGTGACATTGTGTGAATGGATTCATGGGAATTTATGTACCAGAAACCTCTGGAGAGCGTGACATTGTGAATGGATTCATGGAATTTATGTACCAGAAACCTCTGGAGAGCGTGACATTGTGAATGGATTCATGGGATTTATGTACCAGAAACCTCTGGAGAGCGTGACATTGTGAATGGATTCATGGAATTTATTTACCAAAAAAAAAAATTAAACATATACAGCCTTATTCTACATAATTAAAAAACGAATCTTTATTTCATGATGGAATAACCTTTGGATGGTAATATATTTTTCTCAAAAAGCATTTTATTTAAAAAAAATCTGATTTAAATTAAAAAAAAATCCACTTCCGGTTCCGGCGCCGCATGAGCTAGGGGACAGATCCCACGGCTCCGGACACACCGGCTTATAAATACCTCCCCCTGCACCGAGGGACCTACCTGTCAGGCACGGGAGTGCCTCTAAGTCTCCCCCATCCGATCCCGGATGGATAGATATCTGCGCGGCCGGCGGCACCCGGCCCTGATCCCGCGGCTCGGTCCCTGGGGAACATCTCTCCCCCTCTTGCAGCCAAAATTTCCGCCGCACACGATCAGTGCAGCATCAGCATTAGCTGCAACAGGGACGACAGCACGGATGCCAGACTGGCAGGCATGGAGACTGAGCCTGCAGCATATCCAGG